ATGAGAAATGGAGAATTTATGATAATTTTATACGGAAAAGGAGCTGGAAACAAGCTTGTGGTTCTAGAATGTTACAAATGTAAAATAAAAGTGATTACTGATGAGACAGCAGATTTCTTTCTCTTATTTTAGCTCTTGTTAGGGTGAGGTTTATCTTTGACTGTCTTAGATGTTTTTTAAAGAGATTTAAGAATTTTTCAACCGAGACGTTAGTGTAAAGTGATTTTATATCAAGACTGGCCATGAGTTTGTCAGTCATATGATTTCCTTTGCTTTTCAACTACGTTGCCTGAATTTCTTTTATTTGTGATGGACTGATTCTTCCAACAGGTGTTAAAATGTTTGTTATGCATGTAGCTGCCTATTCTCGAAATAATGGGGCGCATTGGGATACCTGCTTTGTGTTATTTCAAATCTAATAATGTTTTTATAAACAGATATTTGGATTAGCAATGGGATCGCCTCTTAGTACAGCGATGGCATGCATTTTTTTTTTAGAATTTTTCGAATCTGATCGTTTCGAAAAAATTTTACCTAATCAATATATATATATATATATATATATATATATATATATATATATATATATATATATATATATATATATATATATATAGTGTGTGTGTGTGTGTATGTCACCACGAATTGTATCTTTAATGTATCAGACACCCGACAACATTCATATTTCCCCCTTCCACTCATCTCTATAAAACTCCTCTCTGTTAAGTTTTAATCTCCCACCTCCTCTCGTCTGTTACCCCTCTCTTTAGCACTAACATTCGTCCCACACTCTCATACTTACACTCTCTCTAAATTTTATTTATATTTCCGGTGTTGTTTTTTTCTGTTTTCTTTTTGAATTTGTAGGTCTGATGAATTGGATCGTATATACGATTCCAATGGAATAAATTATGACCTTGGAATATTAGTGTTTAAGCCTTTTTATTATATATATATATATATATATATATATATATATATATATAATTAATATGGGGAATACGAAGATATCGGTTGTCTGTCTTATCAACACCGGCGTATACTGAGTTCGTTTCCGAAATAGAAATTTAACTGTGAAAGATTTTAAAACAAAGCAGTCGAAGAACTAATACAGAATTTAAATGTTTCTGTCAGACGAAAGGCACTACTCTAAGCTCTCGCCAACCCTCTTTGCATTAATCCATTACATCCTTTCCTCTATATATTTAAAATTTATTTTTAAACAGTTTTATTCCACTTTTAATTTTAAATTAATATTTAATTCTTCGTATAACCCCCAAATTAATGTCATAAGCTTAATACCCGTGTTTCATTTCATAAAACTCCTTCTTCCCTTTAAGCCAAACAACTTTCGCACACCCCTGACCACTAACTCTTGCCTTTCGTCTGACTGAAACATTGAAATGGATGAATTCTGTATTGCTTTTTTGACTGACATTTTTTTTTTTAGCTTTCACAGTTAAATTTCTATTTTTGACACGAACTCACTCCAAAGCCGGGGTTGATAAGAGAGACAAGCGATATCTTCGTTTGCCGAAATGTTATTTATAATAGAAATGAAGACAATATTAAAATTAACATATCCAGGGTGTATAGTTACTTACTCAGGTGGAAATGTTTACCTTCTGCCGAAAGGGTAGGATATGAAGGGTCTCTAACAATTAAAAAAATTAGGGCTTTGGTAAAAAGAGGCGGGTAATTCAGAGATCTATCCCTGGGCAGGGTAGCACAGATTCAGAATCAGTAGGTGGAGGTGGTAATAAATGAGTGAGGTTATCCTTGGGCAGGGTAGTACAGATTAAGAAACAGTAGAAAGATGATCAGCGAAAACTGATTTTTTGTACGTTAATTCATTATCTATCTATCTGTCTATCTATCTATTTATCTATCTGTCATGGGAACTTACCTATAATAATAATGGATTATTCCTGACATTATAAAAGAGGTTTACGAAGAGTGTAAGACGAGGAGAGATAATTGAGAGCATATTGTAAGGACATTGGACTAGTGATACTTGTCGAGACAACATAGTTCACTCTAACCAAATCTGATAGTCATTACTAATACTTCTACTTCTTTGTTGTTATGGGGTCCACCCCTTTTTCATACAAGTGGACTCGACCAGTGTGTACTTGGACTTCTGCCGTTAAATACCCAGAGTCAGTCAGAGACAGAGATTGTGATGGAGTCGGAGGTAGAGTAATAGTGTGAGGTAAACGCTTGTAGAAGTCACACTTACAAGCACGTAGACTCTAAGGAAGTCCTACTTCGAGACGGAATTCACCAGACTGGATATATATATATATATATATATATATATATATATATATATATATATATATATATATTATTGCTACTAACCGCGTTTCTGGATCTACTAACCGTATTACCAATTGTATTATTGTGTAAATACATTTATTTGTTATATTTCATTCCTGCGTTTGTCATTCATTGGAGACCGGATTTTATTTGTATTATATTTCTGTTGTGATATATCTTTGTATTCCATACCTGTGTTCGTGTTACTCTTTCATTGGTTCTAATCTTGGACCATCACCGTGGACTATAATATATATATAAGGAATATTATATATATATATATATATATATATATATATATATATATATATATATATATAGTTATGGTAACTTACCCATAATAATAATGGACTATTCCTGACATTATAAATACTGCGCCTCTCAAGAGGTATGAGGAGATATTGTAAGGCGAGGAGAGAAAATTGAGAGCATATTGTAAGGACATTGAATAGTGATACTTGTCGAGACAACATAGTTCACTCTAACCAAATCTGATAGTCATTACTAATACTTCTACTTCTTTTGTATTATATTTCTGTTGTAATATATCTTTGTATTCCATACATGTGTTCGTGTTATTCTTTCATTGGTTTTAACCTTGGACCATCACCGTGGTACAAGGAACTTGGACCATAACACTATCTATCTATAAAGAGGTACTTGTGGTCAGAGTAGTACAGACTAAGAATCAGTGAAAACATGATCAGCGAAAACCGAGTAGTACTAAACAAGTAACAGTGGGTTCAATCCCTGGGAAGGGTAGTACAAATTCATAATCTATGGAAACGGGATCAGCGACACCTGAGCAGTACTAAATAAGTAATTGGTCATGATTGTACTGCTTCAGACTTAGGGTGAGCAATAAATTAGCAGCAAAAGGGGAGAACAAGACTAGGCATCCCTGGGCATGATTAGCAGAACGGGAACCCTCTTCTCCAGTATAGGATATAAAGGGGTCAGTCTTCAAATATCCTGATGGTTACTAGGATGCAAAAGCACCTGAATAAGGCCGAGGAGCACAACGGTCGGAATGTAATGATAATGGCAAAAAAGATCTGGATATTAGTCTTAGTGTAAATAAAATGGTCATAATGCTTTGTCTCTTCAGTGTATAAATAAACAACTATGGTCAATCGTAGAAAGGGGCATATAAATACAAACACACAATATGCATGAATAACTGTTTCCTTGTGGAATCCCCTAAACTGTTGCATAGTGGGCAGCATATGATTCCCTTAAAGAGAAAAATCGATTAAATCTCTGGCTGCGTTTCAGACTTTGGCATTTTGGGATATTATATTACTATTTCGGATATTTTACTGAAGGCTGTCTCAACCCATGAACGTACATTACCTGTCCTAACACATCTCCCGAACTTGTGAAATAAAAGGATACATTTGTTTGTACTTTAATTCATTATCTATCTATCTATCTATCTATCTCATTTTATTCATATTTATCTATTTATCTATCTCATTCGGTTCATATCTATCTATCTATCTATCTATCTATCTATCTATCTATGTCATTTTATTCATATCTATCTATTTATCTATCTCATTCTGTTCATATCTATCGATCTATCTATCTGTCTTTTTTGTTAATCATGTCGCCCAATGCAAGGCGATAATGCCACTAGAACGTAAGTGGTTACGGGGCGAGAAAGAGAAAGAGAAAAATTTAGTGAGGAGAAAGAAAAATAAATGAACAGAAGTCATTAAAAAATGGTGGCGATTGGTGCTACATTTAATTTTTTGAAGACTTTAGGTCGCATGGAAGCAAGAATTCAGAATGTAGGCACACAGGATCTATCTATCTATCTATCTATCTATCTATCTATCTATCTAATTTTGCTCATATCTATCTAATTCTGTTCAGATCTATCTATCTATCTATCTATCTATCTATCTATCTATCTATCTATCTATCTCATATACCTAATTCTGTTCTCATCTATCTATCTATCTATCTAATTTGCTCATATAATTCTGTTCAGATCTATCTATCTATCTATCTATCTATCTATCTATCTATCTATCTATCTAATTTTGCTCATATCATAATCTATCTAATATCTATTCAGATCTAATTCTGTTCAGATCTATCTATCTATCTATCTATCTATCTATCTATCTATCTATCTATCTAATCCTGCTCATATCTACCTAATTCTGTTCAGATCTATCTATCTATCTATCTATCTATCTATCTATCTATCTATCTAATTTTGCTCATATCTATCTAATTCTGTTCAGATCTATCTATCTATCTATCTATCTATCTTCATTATCAATCTCTATCTATACATGTTCGTATATATAAATATATATATATATATATGTATAAACATGTTCATTATCTGTTTGCTCATTATACATATAAATATATACGTGTGCATTATCTATCACTATCTATACATGTATGCGTGAGATATATATATATATATATATATATATATATATATATATATATAATCATGTTCATTATTTATCTCTGTCTATCTACATATGTTCGTCTATATGTATATATATATATATATATAAGCATATTCATTATCTACCTATCTCTCTCTCTCTCTCTATATATATATATATATATATATATATATGTAAATGTGTTCATCATCTATCAATATCTATACATGTTAATATCTATGTATGTATGTTTATCTATCTATCTATCTATCTATCTATCTATCTATCTATCTATATATATATATATATATATATATATATATATATATATATATATAAATCTATCTATCTATCAATCAATCTGATAGTTCATATATATATATATATATATATATATATATATATATATATATATAATTAACTTAAAAGATTATACCTTAGTTTCTGAAACGTTTTCAAAAGTGTGTTTTTGTTGGCCGGGACTGCAACATCTCCCGGAAGACATATGTTTTCAACATGACTTTTCACAATTATGTCTGGTCGATTCGCCTGGATTCCCTTATCAGTCCGAATGCTGAAGTGCCAGAAGGTTGTATATTATTATTATTATTATTATTATTATTATTATTGCGCTCAAGAAACCCCAGAAACTGATGCATGGTGGACAATTGTTGATTCCCTTAAAGACCATACGATCAGTTAAATCTGTGGGTGGATTTCATGCTTCATCATTTTGGGATATTTTATTACTTTTTTGAGATAATTTATCAAATGCTGACCCCACCCATGGACATACATTGACAGATATGGCCCCCACCCTAGCGGATATATATATTGCTATATTCTAATTAAACATTAACAAAAAAAAAAAAAAAAAAACTTTACATATAAGTCTCTCGTTATGGGTAATTTTAAAACAAGTAAATCCTATTGAATTCTAAGTGGGTGTGCGTTGTGATAACAGCTCGGTATGAGAATCCAGAGTGCCTAGTTCGAACCCGAGCCTTAGTTGGCAACCAGTTTGCAGCAGAAAGACACGGATACCTACTACGGGAATGTCTTCCGTCTAGTCAGTCGGGAATCGAAAGACAGATGATCGCCCAAGCGTGCATCACGTGTGGCACTTGATTAACTGAAATCAAGTTATGTAAGGTATAAGTGTGGACAAGTTAAACCCATTTATAATATATTTACTCATAAAGGTCATAGATTATTTTCGATATATTGATTGAAATTAAATTTAACAGCCAAACCTATTGTCAACTTCAGCTTGAGACGTAAATTATTTGGGTGAGCTACCTAAAATAATAAAAAACTTGTTAAAGGAAAATAAAAAAAAAACGCCTGAGCTTTTGGATGCGAATTGCTAAAACTAGTAAAAGGCCTCGTTCGTTAGTTCGCACGACCGTTACGTCCTGCCAATACATCCTAAATAATGGATAGTCTTGATCGGGGAAAGACACTACTTGGTTTCAGTGAGAAAATGGAAGAATGAAAGAAAGAAAGAAAGAAAGAAACAAGGAAAGAAAATAAAAGAAAGAAACAAGGAAAGATAACGTCTTTTGCCAGTGCCTCCTAAATAATAGAATATTCCGTTTCGATCTCGTGGAAAGACGGGTAAGGTCACTACTTGGTTTCAGTGATAAAATGGAAGAAAGAAAGAAAGAAAAAGAAAAGAAAGAAAAAGAAATAAGAAAGAAAGAAAGAAAGAAAGAAAGAAAGAAAGAAGCAAAGATAGGTGTGTTTCAAGTCTCCTGCCTATATCTCATATATAATAGACTATTCCCTTTTGATCGCCTGGAAAGACGGGAAAAGCCACTACTTGGTTTCAGTGAGAAAATGAAAGAAAGAAAGAAAGAAAGAAAGAAAGAAAGAAGGGTTGGAGTGATATTAAGAAAGAAAGAAAGAAAGAAAGAAAGAAAGAAAGAAAAAAAAAAAAAGAAAGCAACAAAGAAACAAAGAAAGAAAGAAGCAAAAATAGTTGTGTTTCACGTCTCCTGCCAATATGCCATAAATAATGGACTATTCCGTTTTGATTGTGTAGATAGATGGGAAAAAGCCACTACTTGCTTTCCGTGAGAAAAAGAAAGAAAGAAAGAAAGAAGCGAAGATAAGAGTGTTTCACATCTGCCAATATCTCATGAATAATGGACTATTCCGTTTTGATCACATGGAAAGACAGGGAAGCCACTACTTGGTTTTGATGAGAAAATGAAATAAATAAATAGATAAATAAGGGGAACATTTCTCTTAATAATAATTTAAATAATTCAGCAGACGATGTTATTTTATTTAATTTATTCTAACTAGATTTTTTCCCCAAAGGGGTCGTGCCGAGTGGGGTTTGGCCAGTTTTTCTACATTATTGCCGTTGAAACCACTTTAACACTCGACCTTGTGTCTCTTTCGTTAGCGACGTGGTCGCACTGAAAATTAATCGATTCTTGGCATTTTTGGCTAAGATCAAAGTGTAGTACCTGTTTGTTTCAGAGTTATCTGATTCTCTCTCTACTTCTATCTTCCCTCCTTTCTTTCTGTCTTTCTTTCTTTTTCACACTGAAACCAGGTAATGACATTTCCCCCTTTTCCCCGCGGAATACTCTGTTATTTATTATCTATTGGCTGGGTGTATTGGTCGTGCGAACTAACGGAATGAAGGACAAGCACAATTATAATAGCATAATAAACCTATTATAATTGGACTTCTCTTAGCCAAAAGGTCGAGAAGCAATGGCGGCCTCGATAAAAGTGCCATTTTTCCGATGCACAAACTATGGAAACCGAGACGACGGAGGCAATCGCCAAAAGTCCCGTTACCATAAATAAATTAACATCGTTTGCTGAATTATTTTAAAATTAATATTGAGAGAAATATTCATAAGACAGGGATTTTTAATTCTCAACATTCTTGATACTAAAACGACTTTTAAAAAATGAAAGTTTTACGAGTCGAACATGCACAGCGGGTTTCCAAGGCAGCTGCTAGTTATCTAGCGTAAAACGAAGTCTGTTATCCGCAGATCAAGTTAGGTTTCATTTAACTTCAGTTTGGCTTAATGGAGTTGGAATCCTGTCGGGCCAATGAGTGATGATCTGTTCCCCGGGATAAGTTTCCGTTTTCAGATATTTCTTTTTTTTTCTTTTTTTTTTTTTTAATATTAACTGATTGCAAAGAGATGTTTCACTTGCACCTGTGTTGGAATATTGAATCTTTTGGGCACAGTTCTTCCCTTTGCGCTAAAGAGTATCGAATAAAAACACGATTACTCAGCCCGCTCCGAATTTAGTACAAATTTGAGATAATAATTACACTTTCTCCTGCCAAAAATATCGCTGAAATGGCCTTGTGTCTTACATGCGAAGTTGCAGTTTCTCGTCGTCTAAATTTATCCCCAAATCTTTCTATCTTAAGCTATAATTTTACGTCAGACGGTAATGGCTGCATAGCCGAACTCCATAATAATATTTTTCATTTAAACATTATTATTATTATCATTATTATTATTATTATTATTATTATTATTATTATTATATGTCCTTTGATTTCTGGTGTGTACCCATTTCTTTTTGGGTCCCGCCCAGATTAGAGGTGGCATCATGACATTTTCCACTGTCCCTATTTATAAAAAAATTAAAACAAAACAAAAAAAAACAACACATATTTTACGTAGATAAAGCCCTTCGTAAGGTGTGGGCTGTACTCGTGAGAACAACTTTTGTATTTCTTTAAGGCATGGGCTTCCAGGAATCCCTTCAATTAGTCTACTGGAATCTTTTCCAACCAATCCGAGGGCTCCAACTACAACGCGGATTGTTAATGTTCCCATGGGGAACATTTTTGAGATTTCGATTTCAAGGTCCTTGTATTTTGATTGGTTTTTGAAGATACTATTATTATTATTATTATTATTATTTCCTTTTATTTCTGTTATATACACATTTCCTTCCAGGTCCCAAACAGATATTTAAGGCCAGAAATGGCATACTGACATTTTTCACTGATCATTTTTGCAAAAGATATCTTTGAAATACAACGCTTTTCATATGTTTTTTTTCTTTATGGCTTTTTTTTGCTGTTTCAGTGTAAGTATTTCCTTGATTGGTGGAATTTCCTTTACTACATTAATTTTATATTTTTGCTTGATCTTTTTGCTTTTCCTTGTTAAAACATTTGAATTTCTTGAAGTCTCATCTAGTTTCAATAAGTTACATGATTTCCTCAATTTCTCGCCTTAATTTCGCCTTCCAAGTCGGCTCTTCTTGTCTGTTCTTTAATCTTCTTTTTTTTCTGTTTCTTTTTCTTCTTCTTCTTCTTCTTCTTCTTATTCTTCTTATTATTATTATTATTATTATTATTATTATTATTATTTTCTTTGATTTCTGGCGTTTACACATTTCTTTCTGGGTCCCGTCAAGGGACCTAAAGTTAGAAATGGCATCATGACACTTTCCAGTGACAAAAAAAAAAAAAAAAATTACATAGATAAAGCCCTTCGTAAAGTGTGGGCTGTACTTGTTAGAACATTTTTTGTATCTCCTTGAGGCATGGACTTCCAGGAATCCCTTCAATTAGTCTACTGCAATCTTTTCCAAACATTCCTAGGGCTCCAACTACAACAGGGATTGTTGATGTTCCCATATGCCACATTTTCGAGATTTCTATTTCAAGGTCCTTGTATTTTGACAACTTTTTGAATATCTTCAAAGATACATTGCAGTCAGCAGGGACTGCCATATCAATATGAAAGCACTTTTTTGTTTGTGGTCTTTAATAACAATATCTGGCCGGTTGGCCTTGATTGTTCTGTCAGTGTGTATTGTGTAATCCCATAGAATTGTAACAGGTCCTATCTCCGTAACCGGGTCTGGTTGGTGTTTATACCAGTTTCTTTCAGTTTTCTTCCCATAGAAGTTGTAGATTTTCCAGTGCAGATATTGGCCCACTCTCTCATTGCCGGGTTATTATTATTATTATTATTATTATTATTATTATTCTTTCAGTGGACTTCTATTGTATACACATTTCCTTTTAAAGCGGGAAATTAATATGGCATCTGCTCTGACGAGCTACTTTCACTGGTACCCCAACTGCATGAATTTAAGCGTGCTACTAGGGTGGCATTTCGGTCCCACCCTTTTACTGTCGAAACAGTTAAATGTAACCACCTCTTCTACTCCAACAGTTTCTTCTCTCGGCCTTCCCGACAGTGAAATTCTTACTTGCTTCCCTGATAACTATAATCTTCAAATATTTAAATGTAATGTCAATTGACATATTCTGTCGATCACCGTTTTTCATTTTATCCTCCTCCTTTCTTCTTTTTATCCTTTTCTCATCTCCCCCTCTATACCCAGTTTTTTTCCTTACACTCTTTGTAGCACTTTGCGTACTAGTCGTAGTCCTGCCTTGCTTAGGGTGAACTGCTTACAATAAATAGCATGGAACTGGAAAAAAAAAAACAAAAAAAAACATTTATATAATATATTGTAACTCCGTCTGAAAGGCAATATCAGTAATCGTAAAATTTCTTTTTCGCTTTAAGTTAAGCTTTCTTTTTTTTATTAAATACTAGCAGTAGAGCCCGGCGTTGCCCGGGGATGTAACAGTTAGAGATAGATCAAGTATCGACCATCATAAAGACTGAAAAATAAAATTGACAAAAATTATTGTTTAAGGTTGACGGACACGCATGTCTTAATTAGTTTTTTTTGTTTTTTTTTTTTTTTTTTTTACGAATTGGTCAAACCCAAACTCAAACAAAAACATTGTTTTCAATCGTGATGAGTCTACCGATTGAAAATAGAATTTTATTATAAACAATTGCCTTGTAAATGGAATTTTTAAAGCATTCTGAATGTAAAAACAAAGAAAAAGGCGTGCAAGACAATAATAAACACTACCTGCCCCCAAAAAGTGAAGTTTTGTTGAAATCGGTTGAAAAATGTAGGAAATCCGATCCCATATATAAACGAACAAACACACACACACACACACACACACACACACACAGACAACCTGGGTTTTATAATAAGTATAACTCGATATGAGTTGTCCCCCTTTCATTCTCGCGATAGCGATGCCTCTTAATCGTGTTTTCAAATTGATTTCGTGCAAAAACAATTGTTTTTCCAATTTTTGGCGCTGTCAGAACAACCGCAAGGTAATTTTACGTAGTCCTGTGAAGTTTTGTTGAAATCGGTTGAAAAATGTTGGAAATCCGATCAAATATATAAACGAACAGACACACACATACAACCTGGGTTTTAAAATAAGTATGATTTTCTTTGTTTATATTTCTGTGATGAGGAATGAAACGAATTAAACTATTTACATTGTTTTTCACATCTTTACATTGCCACATTCACGAAGTTCCGGTCGTTGCAGTGTTCGGTCTTCTTTAGGTGGAATTTGTTTGGAAATTCTTCGTTCTAGTTTCGAAACGAACCCATTATTTACTCCACGACGGTAGATTGTTCTAATTTCACGTAAACATGCTTTGTTTTGTTGTATATCAATTTTTAGTTATTTTCCCTTGATCATTGAGCACTCCAAGTATTTGTTATTTTCCCTTGATCATTCAGCACTCGAAGTATTTGTTCCATCTGTTGTGACCAGGGATTGAACTCACAACTGTTTAGGTCAAGTCACTTTTGGATCAGTCAACCAAAGCTTTTCTTCATTGGGCTATATGGGAACAAATAACATTTTTTTTTGTTATCATTTCTCTCCAAGAAAGGTATTAAAGCTTTTAAAACGCTAGCGGTTACTGAATGTGAGAGAATATGGGAAATGAAGCATTAAGGGAGGTGACAAATCATGGCTCTCCACACCTTCCTTCCATTCATTTCTCTAAGGAAATTTTGATTCTTTTTCATCCCTTTATGTTTTTGTTTTAACATACATTTGTTATGTAGGTTACGTGTTGTTTCTCATTGGCTCTTCTTGACTCTTGTGAGTGTTACATTTTCCGATCACTCTTTCCTCATTAGATGTCCCATGTTTGTTACTTGTTTCTTTCTGATTTACAGTCGAATTCAGCTTCGTTTTTATTTTTTTTTAAAAAGTTCCCCATTGCTTATGCATTCACTCCAGGGTATTCTCAGCATCCTTCTGTAAAACTGCATAATCTGTTGAGATTTTGACATAATTTTTGTTAATAAAATCTTCTTTTTTTTTCTTTTTTTTTGGCATTTACATTTAAGTTTTACATTTTTGTTCATTATTTACCGTATTTTTCCGCTTACAAGACACTTTTTTTCCTAAAAAATACGTCCGCGTCTTCCAAGACGAATGTAAGGTAATGCCCACGGTCAAGTAAGCTTGGACGGTCACCTAACTGGCTTGACTGATAGGGACGTGGATTTGTATGTTGAGTCATTACACTATAATGTTAGCTATCTATCTAAATCAGACTTTTATATGATGTCACCACAGTACTTAGCTGTTAAGAGTATTTCCAAGACTATAAACCTTCCTGGAGCCGAGCCACAGGCATAAACATGCTCTGTTTGCAAGAATCGGCCGGATCCTTTCTGCTCTTGACTAGTATGTCATTGACAGACGAAGAAAATCGTACGAGTGATTGTACACAATACGTGACGCCAGTATATGCAAGGGACGCATGGGGAATGTGTTGTTGTATGAGAATGATTTTTTTTTGTTTCTTAGATATTTCTTTTCAATATTAGGGTGCGTCTTCCATGCCGCAACATCCTGTAAGCTGCAAAATACGGCTATTGTTTCTTTTTTTTTTTTTTTAAGCACAGCGGAAAGACAAATTAAACGAGAAGAACTCACCTTTGTTTTTAGTTTTTATGTCAGAATTATTAGCATATTTTAACATATTTAGTTTTTTATGTTCGGTATTACTTGTAAGCATATCTTCTTCGAGATTGACCAAGAAGTTATTTCGGTTCATTAAGTAAAAGTAAGATATTTCTTTTCGACATTAATGAGTAGAAATCGGATACTAATTAACCTATAATTAATATTATATTTTCAGAAACATAACAGCCTTACGCGATTTTAGCTTTGACAAAATTAGAGAAATAGTAAGTGAAATATATTGGGTTGGTGCGTAATTATCGGGCGTTTATTAATCAATATTTATTATGAAAAAACAAAAAAAAAAACAAACCAAAAACCAAAAAACATAACAATTCAACAATAACATTTTTAAATGATTATTCCGGAGCGTATGATTATCGACAGGCATTTTTATAATTTGAAAATAAAAATAAAAATATTAAAAGAAGTAAACAAACCAGCAATTTTTATTAACAAATAACTCGCCTACAAAAACGCCTGATAATTATGCATCAATCTAATATATATATATATATATATATATATATATATATAGAGAGAGAGAGAGAGAGAGAGAGAGAGAGAAAGAGAAAGAGACAGAAAGAGATTTGGTGCATAATTATCAGGCGTTTTAAAACAGTATTTATTATGAAAAAAACAAAAAACATAACAATTCAACAATAACATTTTTAAATGATCAGACGGTATGATTATCGACACGCATTTTTAAAATCTGCAAATAAAATATTTCTTATTAAAAAAAAACAAAGCAATTTTTATTGACAAATAACTCGACTACAAAAACGCCTGATAATTATGCATCAATCTAATATATATATATATATATATATATATATATATATACATGCATACATATATATATATATATATATATATATATATATATATAGATAGATAGATAGATAGGTAGATAGATGGACAGATTTGGTGCATAATTATCAGGCGTTTTTAAACAGTATTTATTATGAAAAAAAGAAACATAACATTTCAACAATAATATTTTAAATGATTATTCCAGACAGTATAATTATCGACACGCATTTGTAAACCCTGAAAATAAAATAATATTTTTATTAAAAAAAATTAAACAAAACAGCAATTTTTATTAACAAATATGTCGCCTACAAAAAACGCCTGGTAATTATGCACCAACCTAACAAGACAGTAGTGATTTACAGAATGACCTTACGCGATCTAATTTCAGAGTGCTATCAAAAAGAGTCAGGAGCACATGAATATCGGATTCACACGACAACCAGCTTAATAACTCATGTAGCGAAATGTGTTATCTAAATTTTGATGAATAGCGCTGTGCAGACTTAAGCCTGAAATGAAATAAGTACATTGTGGTTTCGTTAAATATATTGGAACAATGAATGCAATATTTATGCACATAATGATTTACTAGAAGGAGCAACAGAAAAACTGCAAGGTGGATGCATACATTTTATACATTGTCCAAAAGAGCTTGATATGGTGTGAGACAAATAACAAATTTGAACAGCTATGAAAGTTTGATTTCATAAAAGAAAAACTATTAGAATTTAAATTGCAACAAACAGGCTGTATACGGATAGAAAATGAATTCAGTAAAATCACCAAAATACCGTCTGACCAATAAAATAGGGTGAATTCAGGAAGGCGTGTGACAAAAGCTAAAATTGATGACAACTGATGTTACTGAAAAATTCAGGAAGAATTTCTCCACATGTCGTCAATCCTCACGTCGGATGTTCTCGTTTGAAAAATATGATAATTTGACGCTCAAAATCAGTGAGTTGTTTAGCCATACGAAAAGGGCAGAACGAAAGACGAAAGTTGTCTGCAAATAATCTTTAAATTTAAATGTAATGTCAATCGTTATTTTCTTCTTAATTTTTCTTCTTTTATTGTTCTCTCTCCTTAATTTCGTCAACCCCCTACGTGGGATGTTCTTGTTTGGAAAATATGATAATTTGACGCTCAAAATCAGTGAGTTGTTTAGCCATACGCAAAGGGCAGAACAAAAGACGAAAGTTGTCTGCAAATAATCTTTAAATTTAAATGCAATGTCAATCGTTATTTTCTTCTTAATTTCTATTCTTTTATTGTTCTCTCTCCTTAATAATGTCTTCCTTTTCTCACGCACAGTTTACTTTTTTCGTCTTAGTGGATTTATTACTTTGTTTGTTATGAAATGAAAACAAATTATTACTACAGGCTGTCCAATAAAGAAAGCGGTTAAATTAAAAAAAGACGTGAGACAACCGTTTAAAAATGATGGCGACTGATGTAACTGAAAAATTCAGGAAGCATTTCTGCACATTTCGTCAATCCCCCACGTCGGATGTTCTTGTTTGAAAAGGACGATAACTTGACGCTCAAAATGACTGAGCTGTTTAGCCATACGAGAAGGACAGAACGAAAGTCGAAAGTTGTCTGCAAATAACGTTTAAATGACGAGTCACATGATCGAGCAGCAGTTAATCAATCATAAATAAACTAACAAAAGTTAAGTAATTACGCGAGAGATGAATGATGCTTCAAGGTCATGAATATTCAAGAAATTTATTCAAGGTTATTCAAGGTCAATTATTCCTGAAAAATTAACCAGCGATAATAAATTTGCCACTTATTTTACTGGGCAACCTGTAGAAAGGAGCGTAAAACAAAGATGCGTTTTCTTACCGGATCCCGAGAGAATAGGGATTCATTATTAGCGGACACACTATAAAAAAAAAAAAAAACATAAGGTATGCAGATGACACAGTGTTGATAGCAGTTACAGAAAGGGAAATGCAGGAACTCCTACAGAATGTATTAAAGGAAAGCAAGAAGAAAAGACCAATCAACAATTGTTACAATACAGAATGATCTGGTTGTGAGTATGAGCTACATAATCAAGCAAGTAGAAACATTTAAATATCTATTTTTTATATTTTCTGTCAAATCACTCCAAAATATTAATTCACCCTAAATAAAAAGAATTCATATTTGCTAAAATTCATACCAAATTCTCCCAGAGCGAGACCCTTCCATTGCACACCGTTTGGGTTGATCTTTGCGATCGTCCCAGATGTGGGCGACTCTGGTGTGCTATTTCTAAATGTGGCGGTATACGTTCGAGCTTACCATGATAAAAAAGTCAAAAACAGATTTAATTTTTTCTTTTTTAATTGTAAAAAATTCCTGGTAAGTCTTTTAACAGAGTAACAGGAAATGTGACACCGAAATCCAAAAGACACATTGAAACAGAGAATGTTGCCTTTCAAAAGATAAGCGAAACTTTGATGAACAGGAAAATCTCGTAAGGAGACCTGAACGGATATTTTGGTTTTTAACTGTCTCGTGATGCGCCACAAGTTCGAGTTTAATGTGGGGCACTCGACCGCCTATACCCTACAACCATCGTTTGCGCTGACTACAGATGCCACATCTCCAGTGCAATGAGGGGAATACTGTTGCAGGCAGTTGTTCCCCGGGACCGTGGAGAGAGACACAACTAAGTGATACTCTGCCAGAAGACATACACGCAACTAAGTGATACTCTGCCAGAAGACATACACGCAACTAAATGGTACTCTGCCAGAAGACATACATGCAACTGAGTGGTACTCTGCCAGAAGACATACACGCAACTGAGTGGTACTCTGCATGAAGACATACACGCAACTGAGTGGTACTCTGCCAGACGACATACACGCAACTGAGTGGTACTCTGCCAGAAGACATACACGCAACTGAGTGGTACTCTGCCAGACGACATACACGCAACTGAGTGGTACTCTGCCAGAAGACATACACGCAACTAAGTGGTACTCTGAGTGGCAACTAGGTGGTACTCTGCCAGAATACATACACGTAACTAAGTGGTACTCTGCCAGAAGACATACACGTAACTAAGTGGTACTCTGCCAGAAGACACACAACTGAGTGGTACACACAACGGGTACTCTGCCAGACGACATACACGCAACTGAGTGGTACTGCCAGACGACATACACGACGACATGCCACAAGACACACGCAACTGAGTGGTACTCTGCCAGAAGACATACACGCAACTGAGTGGTACTCTGCCAGACGACATACACGCAACTGAGTGGTACTCTGCCAGACGACATACACGCAACTGAGTGGTACTCTGCCAGACGACATACACGCAACTGAGTGGTACTCTGCCAGAAGACATACACGTAACTGAGTGGTACTCTGCCAGAAGACATACACGCACATGAGTGGTACTCTGCCAGACGACATACACGCAACTAAGTGGTACTCTGCCAGAAGACATACACGCAACTAAGTGGTACTCTGCCAGAAGACATACACGCAAATGAGTGGTACTCTGCCAGAAGACATACACGTAACTAAGTGGTACTCTGCCAGAAGACATACACACAACTGAGTGGTACTCTGCCAGAAGACATACACGCTACTTTGAGATGATTAAGCTACCTGACCAGTGACATGTAATATCGATATATAATATCAATCCTTTTATATGGCAATGAATACATGACAATATACTCAAAGATGAAGACGAAACTTGAAGGAATAGAAAAAAAAATAATATACACTCATCATTTTTAAATAATAAAAATAATTCAAGTAATCAATTTTTTACTGCACGCTTAAACACATACAGACGCCATGAGATAAACAAATGACGCTAACAGAAATTTCCTATATACATACATGCATAACGATTGGGGCAATTCGATGTGGTGTAATGATTAGCAAGCTTGTCTTACTAGATCAATTAAAACTGAATACTGATTTGGATCCTCACTGGGTGCCCCATACTTTCGGCCTGTTGTCACTACGCTTAGAAATCCATTCGAATCCATTATAAGGATTAGAAAACTTGTCTTACGACGTCAATTACGACTGCATAGTGAGTTCGATCCTCACTGGGTGTCATATTCTTTCGATTTTGTCCCCTTAGAAAATCGATCGGGACAATTCGAAATGGTTTACTTGATCAATTAAAACTGAAAACTGATTTCGATCCTCACTGGGTTCCTCATAGTTTCGACCTTGTGCCACAACTAAGCTCTCCTAAAAATGACCAGTGGACACTTCGATATGGCGTAATAATTAACCAAATTGGCTCATTAGATCACTTACAGTTGAATACCGAGTTGGATCCTCACTGAGGGCCCTATACGTTCGGCCTGTTGCCACATCTAAGGTACGCTTAGAAATCCACTCGAGCACTTCGACCTGGTGACATGGCTTGCTTGCGACGTCAATTAAGACTAAATAGTGAATTCGATCCTCACTGGGTGCCCTATTCTTTCGATTTTGTCCCCTTGGAAAATCACTCACGACATTTCGAAATGGTTTTCCAAGATCAATTAAAACTGAATACTGAGTTCGATCCTCACTGGGTTCCTCATAGATTCTACCTTGTGCCACATCTAAGTTCCCCTAAAAAATGACCAGTGGGCACTTCGACGTGGCGCAGTGATTAGCAAGCTTGTCTCGCTAGATGAATGACCATTGAATAATGAGTTTGATTCTCACTGGGTGCCCAATATTTTCAGCATGTGACGCAATTAAGTCCTCTTCATTCAGGGCAAACACCTGATTGCAATGTGGTAGCTTCACACCCTTCATATTCAGCTTCTGAACTTTTCAGCTCAACCTCCTTTATAAGCGTATTTCTATTTCTAAATATATAGTTAAAAATAGATATATATATAAACAGAGTTCCCTAGGTCTTATGCAAAATGTAAATATGCAAAAATTCGCCTGTCTCTCTGCCGATAGCCAAGGGGTTAGAATCTCCGACTGGTGCCAAATCCATAGGATTTCGGTCCCGGATTGAAGCAATCGGATGTCTTGCCCGACTGATGAGCTATGATACAGTGAAACAGTCTGTCTGCTGATGAATACATCTATATCTATCTATGAGTCTATGTATCTCTCTCTATATATATATATGTGTGTGTCTGTTTATATATATATATATATATATATATATATATATATATATATATTTGATTATTTATTTAAAAATATGATTTCAATTCGCGACATAAGAGGTCTCATGTTTCAAAACAAGAGCCGAAAACTTCGATATAATTATTTGAATTAAATTGAGTTAAAATAAGCTCTGTTCCATCTTCAAGCGAAATTTTTTGGGAATAACTTATTTCTGAAATTTACGTGTTTTAAAAATTGAAATCAAAATTTTCATGGTAACAGCTAGGGCGAATTGTTTAAATTGGGTAGGCGGGTGTTGGGTGTTAATAATAATTATCAATATAGAATTACTTTCATAGATGTCAAGTCAGGGAAAGGTGGGGGTGTATAAATTTGAAACGGAAGATGTATTAACCCTAGTCTGGTATGCTTGTCTATGGAGATTTATTTATTTTTTTATTTTATTTTTTTATGAAAGGGATTTGTGCATATAAAAAACTGCCGTAACGTTTGTTTTTTGACGACTTCATAAAGGGTTATCTTTTTTGTAGGGTATTTAAACTATTTATTTGGGCTATGGATTATGAAAGTTATTATATTGTATGCTTGTTCTTAGCTAATTATTCAAACCATGAATCTGATGATTGGATAAAAAAAACCGTTAATTATGTCTATTGTTTAATATTTTATTATTATTTAGAAGCTTAATAATTCAATTTCTCATGGAGGAACAAAAAAGGGATGGGTCATCCAACAAAAACATGTTCTAACCCTTTGTGCCTATCTTTTGTCACGAATTGAAATCATATTTTAAATAAATAATTTATATATATATATATATATATATATGGTGGAGGAATATAAAATGTAAATAATTCTCCCAAGATTTACATGACCATAGCCCTTTGTGCCACACACACATATATGCATGTGTATTATATATATATTAAATAAATATATATATATATATATATATATATATATATAGAATATATATATATGTCAGTATATCTATATGCATATGTAAATAATTATACAAATACATATAAATTTTTTATAGTGTAAGAAAAATAGTACTCGCACAGTAACACACACATTTGCATGTGTGTATATATATATATATATATATATATATATATATATATATATATATATATATATATATGATAGAATCTTACATTAATTTACAATGTAGTTTTATACTAAAGCAATTTTCCGTGCGAATTATTATATTTAAATATATTGAAATTTTTTTATAATTGTAATAAAAATATTACTTAATGTATATAAACTCAAACACAAACTATTTACGATATATATATATATATATATATATATATATTTATATATATATAGTCGGCCCAAAAATTTCACTTGAACCCGTAAACGGTTTCAAATTCCAGCACTTGAAAATTGCCCTTTTGTAGCCAATTCGGGTTAAGATATTATGTAGACAGAGAGTTAACCGATATATAAAAATGAAACACAAACACACAAACACAAACACACTCACACACACACACACACACACACACACACACATATATATATATATATATATATATATATATATATATATATATATATATATATTTAACATACAACGTGTGTTTGCAAGTGCGATACCCTGTCTTCATATATATATATATATATATACACAAACACACACACAAACACACACACCGAGTGTAATAGCAAAATTATTCAACTCGTTTAACAGCATGCGATAATAGTCCATCACAAAAAATGTTTAATATATAAAAATAAAACACTAAACTAATTCAGTTTCTTTAATTCAGTATTTCAGATAAGATTTTTAACCATTTGGACGCCATTTGTTGTAAGAATCATTGAAAAAACCGTTTGAGTTATTCAGCTAGAAAGAGAACAGGTTAAAATCATTTTCTGTCAGCCCCACTATGTCTTCCCAAGTGAGCAATGGTGAGAGGAAAAAGATCATTCAGGCCTTCAGTAATGATACGAACATTCATACTCTGTCTTCATTCAAGACCCATCTAGGAAACGGTGAATAATTTTAAAATGAGGTAACAGTAGAGAAGAAAACTTGATCAAGAGTTCACAATAGGAAGAGGGATCATCGTTTCAATACATTGTTATATATATATATATATATATATATATTGTAATAGTGTAATATTGGAGGTATCGAGACTTTTATCATACAGTCTCAGTTACGGTGGACTGGTCATGTCTTGAGAATGTCTGATGACAGGATACCCCAAATCCTAATGTACAGCCAGTTAGATCAGGAATACAGGAATGTAGGACGCCCATGGCTAAGATACAAAGACAAGCTGAAAAGCATCTTGCCAGCAGTCAATATACAACATAACACCCTTGAGCGCTTAGCCTTGGAGCGGGTAGAATGGAGATCAACGTGTTTTAGTGGACTCAGCAATTTTCAATCTGCTTGTCTGAATCATCTTCAGGAAGCGAGAGCAAAATCTAAAAGGTCAGCCAATCTAACAGTGATCTCATCTCACAATCCTCACACTAGCTCCATATGTGGCCTCCTTTGTAAATCACTAGCGGGTCTTAAATGCCACTTAAGATTATCGCACTAACTTTCATAACTGAATCAATAAGCTGTCAGATCCTCATACGTCGAAACCGACGGGAGAGTCCATTATTATTATTATTATTATTATTATAATATATATATATATATATATATATATATGTGTGTGTGTGTGTGTGTGTGTGTGTGTGTGTGTGTGTGTGTGTGTGTGTGTTATGGGAAGAAGAAAGAACAGTAAGTTATATAATCCGGTGTTTTTATTGATATTTTTATTTTTACAAAACAGTGCTCAATGTAAATATACAGAGCATAAATATTATAAATTAACTGATTTAAAATATGGCTTCTCGCTTCACAGGAATTACCACGTTTCAAAAACCGAAGCTAAAAACTTCACAATTTAATTATATAATTAAATTAAAAGCATTAGTTCTGTTTCATCTTCAAGAGAATTTGGAATAATTTATTTTTAAATTTACTGAGATTTAAACATACAAGTCATAAGTTTTTTTTTTTTTTTTGCAAGTATACAGAGAAATTCAATCATTTCGAAAGGGGTGGTAGCGTGTTCATTTTTATTAAATATTATTGTATCTATTATGAGTTACGTTCGAAAAAGAGGTTAAGTCTAGGTAGGGTAGGGGTGCATTTTTCAACGAATTTTGACATCCGTTCAACGCATGTCGTCTGTGATTTTTTTTTTTATCAACGACAAAAAGGTTTTCGGCATTTTTTTTCTGTTAAATTCATACTTGTATACATAAAGATTCTTTCTAAAAGGGTTGTTTGGGTTAGAATACGTTATATTGAACTAAAATTATAAAATATTATTTTTACTCTTAATTACTAATAGACTATATTTCTTTTTAAATCAAATAAATGTAATACAATTACTTAAATTGTTTAAAAATTCTTATTACATATGA